TACTCAGCTGGCTCCTACTCAACAACTGTTTTATATCATGTTTAGGAGAAGGAAGCAGTGCTTCCTTTATTGACTCCCAGTAGGCTTCCTGGCCCTATCTGACTGGATCTTGTGAAGGGGTAAAGATAGGTCCTTGCTACTCAGTATGTGGTTAGGAGGCCAGTAGAATCTGTATCACTAAGGAGCCCTTTAGAAATGCAGAATCTGCACTCTTCGCTCAACAGAACTGTTGAATTTGAATCTGTATTTCAATGAGATCCTAAGGGTGATCAAGTTTGAAAAGCACTGACCTAGGTCTCTATGACCCCTGGATATGCTCATCTTACCTGTTACCATTCTCGATTAATTCATAATTGTATGAATTTGTAACATCTTGGCTAGCCACTTTCTTCGTCTGTAAAATGGGGACTGTAATGCCTACCTTGGTAGATTCTGATGACTTATGTTAAATATCCAGCACAGCACCTTAGACGCAGTGAGTGTTCTGTAGTGGTAGCCATTATTAAGTCTGTACCTTCATCTTCTTGGATTTTAACAGCCCTTTGGAAGTCTTCATGCATAAGAACGCTACTTCCCCCAAAAACTTGCGTGGGGAGAGACTTGATGCTTGAAAGTTAAATAAGAATGGGATTATGGCTGGTTTATAATTAAACATATGCCTAATATTTAATTGAGTGGCATAGCTGAGATGGCCTTGGGAAGCACAGAAGTTGCTTGCTTTGTTGGGTTGAATGGTTGATTTCTGGCAATACCTTGATATTAATGCTAGTAACTCTGAGATAGGAACATGCATTTAAAGACACTGACCATTACAGTTGAGAAGGGAAATGTAAATCAAAAACAGGGAGGTACTACCACAACAGATTAGAACGGCTAAAATTAGGAATACACATCAAGTATTGGTGAGGATGTGAAGAAGCTATGATTCTCTTTCATTGCTGGTGGAGATGTAAGTACGATCATTTTAGAACCGTGTTTGGCAGTTTCTTAAAGGTTAACAATAAAAAGGAACAGACTCTATTAGGCAGAAAATGAGTGAGGACAAAGTTGAACTAAATAACATCATCATGGATGGGGTATAACTGACATCAGTAGACTATTTCACCCAATAAGAGCAGAATACACATTTTTCTCAAACTCACATGAGCTATTCAGTAAGGCAGACCACATTCTGGACCATAAAACACACCTTAACAAATTCAAATCAACTGAATCAAATAATGGACCACAATGGAACTAAACTAGAAATCAGTAACAGAAAGATAGCTAGAAATCCCAAAATTAATATAGATATTAAACAACATATTTCTAAATAACATGTGGGTCAAAGGAGAAATCCCAAGAAATTTAAATATAAAAATATTTGAACAAAATGAAAATGAAAACCCAGCTTATCAAAAAAAAAAAAAAAGAAAAGAAAAAAGAAAAACCACAGCTTATCAAAATCTTGTGGTATGTAGTAAAAGAAGTACTTAAAGGGAAATGTTAGTGATGAATTTATTTGATGGAAGTGAAGAAAGATCTATAATCAGTAATGTAAGGCTCTACCTTGGAAAACTATAGATAGGCCAAGTGTAAGTAAGCAGAATAAAAAAGAATTGAAGCAGCAATCAATGAAATTGAAAACAGAAAATCAGTAAAGAAAATCAGTAAAACCAAAAGCTGGCTCTTTATAAAGATCAATAAAATTGATAAGCCTTTAAGAGGATACCTAAGGAAAAAGAAGAAGGACACAAATCACTAATATCAGAAATGAAAGAAGGGACATTACTATAGACATGACAGACATTAAAGAGGATAATTAAAGGAATATTATGTCCCACTTTATGTCCACGAATTTGATGACCTGGATGAAATTGAAACATTCTTCAAAATACATAATTTGTTACAACTCCTATAAGAAGAAACAAAATCTGAATAAATCTATTTATATTTTTAAAATGGAATCAGTAATAATCTTCTAAAACGGAAATCACTAGGGCCAGATGGGTTCACTGGTGAGCTCTACAAAGACATTATACCAAGGTGCCTGGGTGGCTCAGTCAGGTAAACATCTGACTCCCTATTTCATCTCAGTTCATGATCTTGTGGGATTGAGACCCACATCAGGCTCTGCATTGACAGCACAGACTCTCTCTTTCCCTCTCTATGCCCCTTAGCCAACAATGCACTCTTTTTTCTTTTCTAAATAAATAAATACACTTAAAAAAAAAAAAAAAGAAATAAATTCTATACAGTATATTCCAGAGGATGGAAGCAGAGAAAATACTCCTTACTCATTCCATAAGATCAATATTACCCTACTAACAAAACTAGACAAAGACATTACAAGAACAGAAAATGACAAACCAATCTCTCTTATGAGCAAAGATGCAAAAATCTCTAACGAAATCTTAGCAAATTGAATCCAGCAATTTAAAAAAACTCTTGTACACCATAATTGAAATATATCCCAGATATGCAGTGCTGGTTCAAGAATCAAAAATCTGTTAATGTAATCCATCACTTTAACAGTATAAAAAAGGAAAAATCAAATGATCATATCACTTGATTCAGGAAAGCATTTGACAAAATCCAACACCCATTCATGATAAAAGTTCTTAGTAAATTAGGAATAGAGGAGAATTTCATTAACTTGATAAAGAAGATCCACATACTATCTACAGCTAACATCATATTTGAGGAACACACAGCTTTCCTGCAAAGGTCAGGTACAAGCTAAGGACATCTCCTCTTACCACTCCTTTTCAATATTATACTGGAATATGTAGAAAATGTGAAAGAATCAACAAAAAAACCCCAGAACCAATAAGTAGTTATAGCAGTATTTCAAGATAGGAATTTAATACACAAAAGTCATTTGCTTTCCTATATACAAGTAATAAGTAAGTGAAATTTAAAGTACAATATCACTTATGTTGGCATTCCACAAAATTAAATACTTAGGTATAAATCAAAAATATGTACAAGATCTATATGAGGAAAACTACAAAACTCTGATGAATAAAATCAAAGAAGAACTAAATAAATTGAGAAGTTTTCTATTAATGGATAGGACGTCTTAATATTGTCAAGTTATCAATTCTTCCCAATTTGATCTATAGATTCAATGCAAATTTAATCAGAATCCAGGAAGTTATTTTGTGTATATCAACAAAGTGATTCCACAGTGTATATGGAAAGGCAAACAAAAACAAAAACAAAAAAACAAAAAAAACCCACAAGAGTCAACACAGTATTGAAGAAGTAAAACACAGCTGGAAAACTTACAGTCCTTAACTTCAAGACTTACTATAAAGCTACACTAATTAAGATAGTGTTATCGGCAGAAAAACAGATGAATAAATCAGTGGAAGAGAATAGGGAGCCCAGAAATGGTCAACTGGTCTTTGGCATGGGAAACAAAACCACCATAATGGAGCAAAGATAGTCTTTTTTAACAAATAATGCCAGGAACAAGGAGACATACACATGTAGAAAAATTAATCTAGACATAGACCTTAAATCCATCACTAAAATCAACTCAAATGGGTCATAGCTTTATGTGTAATATGCAAAAGTATAAAACTCCTAAAAGGTAATCTAGATGACCTTGGGTATGGTGATGACTTTTTATAGACAATACCAAAATCAGGAACCATGAAAGAAATAAATTAAAAAATGACTTCATTAAAATTAAAAACTTCTCTAAAAAAAGACAATGTCAAAAGAATGAGAAGCCACAAATTGGGGAAAAGGCATATCTGATGAAAGACTAGCATCCCAAATATGTAAAACTCTACAATAAGAAAACAACCCAATTAAAAAATAGGTCAAAACCTTGATAGATAACACATCAGAGAATATGGTAAATAAGCATATGAAAAGATACTTTATGTTATATCTCATTAGGGAAATGCAAATTAAGACAATGAACTATCACTACGTGCCTATTAGAATGACTACAATCTGGAACACTGAAAAATTCTGACAAGGATATAGAACAATGGGAATTTTCATTAATTGCTGGTGAAAATGTAAAATGGTACAACCACTTTGGGAGACAGTTGATCAGTTTCTGGCAAAACTAATCATACTTTTACAACAGGATACAGAAGTCCTTGTTATTTCTATTTATTCAAGTAAGTTGAAAACTTAGGTCCACATAAAACCTACACATATTTATTTATAATTAACAAAATTATAACAGCTTTATTTATAATTAACAAAACTTGGAAACAATCAAGATGTCCTTCAATAGGTGACTATATAAACTGGCACATCAAGGCAATGAAATATTATTCTGTGCTAGAAAGAAATAAAAAGACGAGATAACCTTAAATGCATATTACTAATTCAGGGGAGCCAATCTGAAAAGGTTACATACAATATGATTTCAATTATATGACATCCTGGGGTAATGCAGAACTATGGAGACACTAAAAAGATCATTGGTTACCAGGGGTTAGGGGGATGGAGTGGTAAAAAAGCAAAGCAGGACAGAATTTTTAGGGCTGTGGAAGTACACTGAATGATCCAATAGTGGTAGATACACTTCCTTGTACATTTGCCCAAACTCGGAAATTATTACACTAGGAGTGAACTCTAATTTAAACTATGGACTTTGGGTGAAAATGTTGTAGCAATGTAGGTTCATCAGTAGTAACAAATGTGCTGCTCTGGTGCAGTATTTTGATAGTGGGAGTGAGTTTTATGGGATGTAGGTGCTGTCTGTGAAATCTCTGAACCTGCCACTCAGTTTTGCCATGAACCCAAAACTTCTCTAAAATATAAATCCTATTTTTTTAAAAAAGTATACCATGTAGAGGTTAGCATGTTGAATAAATATATTTTCTATATGATACCTCACGTCTCTTCTTTGCTAGCTCTCTCTCACTGCAGTAGAATGTCTGTCAGAATAGACTACAAAGCAGGAGAGACAATTGTGACCTAGGCAAGAATTATGGATCTAGAATTCTGCTAAAAGAAGCCAATTCAAAACAAGAGGAAGATTGTGTATTTTTACATAAATTAACCTCTCCTTAATGATCATGGCACTGAAGATGCTAACAGCTACCAGTTGCTCTGTGAAGGCCATGTTGCGACCTTCTACTCTCTGCCATTTTTGGGAGATGTTATTTGGCCTTGAGACCTCACTGAGAAGCTTCTCTTTTAAACACGCTATTCCTCCATCAGCCAAGTATGGTGGGCGACACACTGTGACGATGATTCCTGGGGATGGGATCGGGCCTGAACTTATGCTGCATGTTAAGACTGTGTTCAGGCATGCATGTGTGCCTGTGGACTTTGAGGAGGTGATAGTGAACTCCACTTCATGTGAAGAGGACATTCACAATGCCATCATGGCAGTCCGTCGAAACTGTGTGGCCTTGAAGGGCAACATCGAAACTGACCACAACCTGCCACCATCTCACAAATCCCACAACAACATGTTTCGCACCACACTAGATCTCTTTGCCAATGTGATTCATTTTAAGAGTCTGCCAGGCGTAGAGACAAGGCACAAGGATGTTGACATCATAGTCGTTCGGGAAAACACAGAGGGTGAATACAGCAACCTGGAGCATGAGAGTGTGAAAGGAGTGATTGAGAGCCTGAAGATCATTACCAAGGCCAAGTCATTGCGCATTGCTGAATATGCCTTCCAGCTGGCCCAGGAGATGGGGCGCAAGAAAGTGATGGCTGTGCACAAGGCCAACATCATGAAACTGGGAGACGGTCTCTTCCTCCAGTGTTGCAGAGAGGTGGCCTCTCGCTATCCTCAGCTCACTCTCGAAAGCATAATTGTGGATAACACCACCATGCAGCTGGTATCCCGGCCCCAGCAATTTGATGTAATGGTGATGCCCAATCTTTATGGTAACATTGTCAACAATGTCTGCACAGGGTTGGTTGGGGGAGCAGGTGTCGTGCCTGGTGCCAACTATGGCCATACATACGCAGTGTTTGAAACAGCCTCAAGGCAATCAGGCAAGAATTTAGCCAATAAGAATATGGCCAACCCTACTGCCATGCTTCTGGCAAGCTGTATTATGCTGGATTACCTCAAGCTCCACTCCTTTGCCAACTCCATTCGCACTGCAGTCTTGGCGTCCATGGAGAACAAAGATGTCCATACTCCAGACATTGGAGGTCAGAGTACTACGTTGGATATCATTCAGAATATCATAAATCACATCAGTGCTGTCAATTAAATGGTCATGACTTGAAGGCTGAGCTAAGTCTAAGTCCTCCTCACTCCTCCTCACCTTACTCTTCTCACTTAGAACCCCTAGCCTGCTAGGCTAGTGTGGACTCTGGAATAAACTGACTCCTGCTCCAACTCAGAAGAATCAGGGGAAGGAAATCAAATTTGATTTTTTCTTCTAAATTAAAATCTCACTAATGCCAGAAGCATTGCTTGTTTAAATTAGCCAAACCTATTGTGTTGTATATGTATTGAGAAATTCTTCTCTATTTTAATTCACAGTTTACATTTCTCTCTATGATACAGTGAGTAAATCAGAGCTATTTGTAGAGTCCCGGGGCTTTCTCAGAACCTAGAACACTCATTTTTCTCTTTATCTGGGTCATTAAAATTTAGCCAACCAGCCTGCATAGAAGTCGGGCTTCTCTCTAGAAGTTGTTAATGAGTTAATTAGGATAAAAAAATTTGCTTACAAAATATACATTGTAACCTTAATAATAAATAAGGGTCCATAAAGCTGAGCTAGTACAGAATGCTTCCAGTCCCTTCTAGATCTCTCATGTTTTCTGTGGCCATGTTTATGTTCCTAAGGACTTTTCGCTGGTATAATTTTTTCACACATGAACATCCCTGAGCACTTCAGCTCTTCTGGAATGTGCATTCTTGAATTCCTTCCAGTTGAGCTCAAGGGGCTAGAGGTCAACTCCCCATCGAAGAGGTACATGGCCCATAATTCTTCACTGTACAAATGTAACCATGGTCGGTAAACTCCATGTTCACTGCTTCATAGTCTGTGATGGTCTACTTTCTTTTAGTTTCTTTTTTTGAGGGAAGAGTGTACATAATAAAATGAAAAGCACTGGGCTAATTTAAATGTTTGCTGTCATTTTATCACAATATATTTTATTTACAGTATTGTTAAGGCCCTAGTTGGGAAATACAGACAAAAATCTTTTCATCGGGGCTCAGGATGTTATTACTCAAGTTGGAAATAAAAATAATGGTATGAGAACTTTCAGTGGCTTCATCTGCAAGAATAGCCTGCAGATAAAAATGAAATTGAGAAAAAGAGTGAATCCTTAAAATATTTTGGAAATTTTTGTTTCTCAGCTTTAACCTTTGGATCCCACTGTGGTTCATGAACCACAGGTTAGAGACAGTGGACTTAGACTTGAAAAATTCCTTATGGTTTTCAAAAGTCTCTGCCTTAACATATCACCTTATATTATCTTTGTTATGTATAAAGTCAGGGCCAGGATTTGGAAAACCAAATGCTAGTTTGCAAGGACTTCATTTGAGAAGGAAGTGACTATCTGCCTATCAGTAAGTCTGTCTTTAATAACAAGCCTAGCAGGAATAAGTAAGTTATAACCATGGTATTCTTTTAGCGGACTTTATACATGTCGTTGGCCAGGGCCACCACAGGCCCACGTGGTGCCTTGCTCTGGGCAGATCTAGGTCTTCACCAGAGGCATGGTTTGGTGGTAGAGCAAGGGATGGATCTTGCCATGAGGTCTTCGCACCTGCAATGCCACACAACCCTATTCTACCTTAATTCACACTACCCACCCTGTACCTCTTTCTCTCGTGAGTAGGAGAACTTTTTTATGGCACAACCAGCCCAGATGCAGGCAGTAACCTGGCTATTGGCTTCTATTTGACAGTGGGAGTTTATGCTGATAAGTACATTTGAGCTACAGTTTCCCTTTCTGTTAAAGGTGATTGTCTCCAGAGCCTTCCCACAGACTACCTTGATGGTACCTATTACACCATAGTGGGATTTCCATTTATCAGTGTTAGATTTTTCCCACTTAGCTAGGACCATTTCTTAGGGCAAATGCCATGTATTTTATTTTGTTGTCCCATGTAGCCCCTAACATAATGACTGACATAGACAAAATAAATAATATTTATTGAATCACCAAAAAAAATGATATGACATGTATTCCCTCATATCTCTTATGTGTAAAGAGGGGTAATAACTCTACCTACCTCATAAGATCATTGACAAGCCTAAGTGAGAAAATAGACCTGAAGTTGATAGCACTGTGCCTGTGTGTTTAGAAATTACTCATTTTTACCCACTTTATTTTTTAATATAGTTTATTGTCAAGTTAGTTTCCATACAACACTCAGTGCTCATCCTGACAAGTGCCCTCCTCCATGCCCATCACCCATCTTCCCCTCCCTCCCACCCCCATCAACCCTCAGTTTGTTCTCAGTATTTAAGAGTCTCTCATGGTTTGCCCCCCCTGCCTCTCCTTAACTGTTTTTTCCCCTTCCCCTCCCCTATGGTCATTATTACCCACTTTATACCTCTCTAAAAGATAATTCTGAGGAGGACTCAGCAAATTATATTAATTCATTACTGTCATTGGAACTTACTAGAGAAGTTCTTAATTTATAGTACGGGTTTGTAACTGACTTTCAAGAAAGGGAGCCAATCATACTTGCTTATTAAAGCCCCCTTATTTTTCTCCTTTTTTTCCATTTTCTTTTTTAAGAGAGAGAGTAAGCAACCAAGAGAGGGAAAGAGAGAGAGAGAGAGAGAGAGAGAGAGAGAGAGAGAGAATCCCAAGCAGGCTCCTCACTGTCACTGTGGAACCTATCATAGGGCTTAATCTCTCAAACCGTGAGCTCATGACCTGAGCCCAAATCAACAGTGAGACACTTAACTGACTGGGACACTCAGGCGCTCCTCCCCCCTTTTTAAAATTTCTTGAATCTAACGACTTCTATTCTTACTCTATCATTCTTACTTTCTCATTAGCACTTTTCATCATTGGTAACCTACCAATTTATGTTATTTCTAATTTGTATCCTGCCTATAGTTTAGCCCTTGTAAATCTATTTTCTGCAGTGTCCTCAGTAACTTCTTTCTGAAAGGGAAATAGTATCATGTCACTTTCCTACTTAAAACCTCTCGTTCAGCGACTTTCCTTCAGCCTTAAGAGAAAGTCAGCTGAGCACAGCATGAAAAACCTCCCATGGTCTGAGATCCGCTTCCTTCTCCAGGTTCACCATTTCCATCCCTCCTCTTCAGCCTAGTGACAACACAGGATGGCACTCCAAAAAGTGTGCAGACAGAGGGCATTGTTAAAGAGCCATATGTCCTTTCGAGGTCATCCCTTGGCACATGGCCATGGTTCCTTTCTCCTTCAGGAAATGATCGCCTTTTCATTTTAGAGGATTAAACTTAAGCATTACCACCTTTGGGAAGCTTCCTTGACTAACTCTCTTTCCATGCCCTGCTGAGATGGAGGGGAGTAGTTCTCTCAGAGTCATCTGTATTTTCTGTGTATCCTACCTAGTATGCACCCCTCTAGTTATCATTACACGCTTTCCTTCCCATCAACCTTATTATATGGTGCATTCTTTGGCTACAGGAATGAAGGAGTCATTCATCCCTATAACATCAGACCCTTGGACAGGGATAATCTCTTACTTGCTGCTCACTCTCGGTATTTATGGAAGGAAGATAAAATGGTGGAGAGAAAAGAATGGCCTGAATTCACAGATGGGACTGGAGGACCGGAAGAACTACTACCGTACTGCAAAATACTCTTGTCTGGGTTGAGTCTATGAGCCTTTCTTTATAAGACTGCTCCTCTCTAAGGAACTTTTCTGCTCTCAAGGCAGTAAAATAGGTGGTTGGCAGGTTGCCTCTGTTGCCTGAGAAGCTTTCTGTACTACATGAAAGGTGATTTTATCTTGGACTTTATCAGTTTACTCTGCTTCATTTAAAGTCCTGATGCTATAATGATAGCAGCTACACATTGTCTTCTTTTTCTCTAAATTAACTCCTCTCCATTGTGGCTCTATTTTAATGTCTTTACAAATCATTCAGTTTGCATAGCTGGCATTCATCTCCGTTCTTCCATGTAGGAGCTCTGTGACATTGGATAAATTGTTTAACCTCTCTGATCTCCAGTTTACTAATCTGTAAAATAAAAGTAATTACTTTGATTCATAAGATTGTTATAAAAATTAAATAAGGTTGTTTTGTTTGGCAATAGCTGCATAAGAAACCACTTCAAAATTTAGTGGCTGAAAACAAGTAATTATTTGTCATGAGTCTATTGAGCAATGAGACGATACTTCTCTCATCAGTATACTTTCTTGAGAACTATTAAAAGGGTTGTCTAATCTCAAATTCTGATCTCCATAAAGGTCAATATAAATATTCTAGACTATATCACTCCATAATTACCTGTCTCCACCACCATCTCCATAGGCTTAGCTTTTATAGAAGGATGCTTTAATGTGCTTACTCTGGCTTTCCTCATGGTCTGATATGCAAAATCTGGTTAAGGGACAGCTCCGAAAACAATGAATCTGCTTAAAAGGTCAACAGGAAAGATTCCCCTCAGAACTGAGAACGAGGAAAACTTGAGTTTTTCACCAGGAATTTGTGTCCTTCTGCCAGTTAATTATATGAAGTGGAAACAAAAATAATGCTTTATTTTACAGACAGGGGAATTTTGAAGAAATTTATCCAGTTCTAGATCATTACAGAGGTTGCACATAAAAAAAAAGAAAGAAAGAAAGAAAGAAAGAAAGAGAAGGTAGTATTGCCATAGGCTCAATTGGGAATGTGCAAAGTATCTGCCAGAAGCTGATTACAGAGCCTGAAAGTTTTTGGCAGGAGGCACTAGGTCCTTGGAGTTTCCCTGGTAATTTGAATAACATGGGAACCCAATGTGGTAAAGTGTTCTTTACATCACAGTGAATTTGCCTACACTGATATGGGGAACTACGTACATTGTGTTTGTGATTGCTCCAAGAAACACGGAAGAAAGAAAGCAGATCTATTTTAAGTGGAAAAAAAAATTGCTCGTTACAAAAGCAACTAAGAAAAATTGGAATGTCTTAGGGGTACCTGGCTGGCTCAGTCAGTTGGGCGTCCCACTTCAGCTCAGGTCACAGTCTTATGGTCATAGGTTCCAGCCCCACGTCGGGCTGTTTGCTGACTGCTCAGAGCCTGGATCCTGCTTTGGGTTCTGTATCTCTCTTATTCTCTGCTCCCCCACCCCCACCCCCACCCCTGGGTCGTGCTCTAGCTCTCACTCCCTCAAGAATAAGTAAACATTTTTTAAAAATTGAATGTCTTGTTACCAATGTTGCAAATGCTTAAAACCAATATAGCCTGAGTGCAAAAGCAGTATCTACAGAGGAAGAGTTGCCTGTGCTCTAATTAGCTTACACATCTGGTTTGTTACACTTAG